GGGGGAGGGGGAAGGGGAGGAGGAGGGGGAGGGGGAGGAGGAGGAGGAGGAGGAAGGGGGAGGAGTCCAGCATGTGTAAGGAGTTAATTCCCTTGCTGGCCTTTCCTCTCAACTCTAGTCGGCCATCAAGATAAGGAAGCTGCAGCCTAAAGGGGGATATAAATTAAGGGGAAAATTCTATGAAGTGAAGTAAGCCAGGCCCAGAGAAACACAGGCCCCATGGTTTCCCTTATTTGCAATAACTAGTATATGTCTGAGACAAGCAGGAAAGGTCAGGTAAGTTGATGTTAGGGAAATGAACCCCAAGATAAGGACTCAAATGTTTTTTCTTTCTTGCAATTGTTTCTAACATATTTATAAGATGATTTCTTTGTTGTTTTGTATGTCCCTCCCCCATGGTATAACCCCTGCTTTCAATGTATTTGATGTCGGTATACTTTGTGGAGGGGAAGGGAAAAAACAAATGGTTTAAATAGGGATACAGCTGGACCCATTGCAACAATGAGACGTACAAGTCATTACGTCGAAAAACAAACTTTACAACTTTGCCTCGGGGGTGGGGGGTGGATGGTGTGTGTGTGGCGGGGGGGAGAGATAGGAAGGGATGGTAAGGGGGGAAAAAAAAGCAACACAGAGCACACTTTGTAATCAGATGACTTTCCAAGGCTACATTGCCTCCATTTGGGAGTCAAGTCTATTTTCAAAGTCTACAGGCTAGAGATTTCCTTCTAAAATCATTTTGGCTTGACTAATTATTCCTTGTAGGAAGCTGTCCTGTGCACTACAAGGTGTTTATCAGCATCTCTGGTCTCTAACCAGTAGGTGCCCTAAGTGCTCCAAATGACTCTACATATTTCTACCCTGGAAGATCAAGTCAGCCTGGCTGCACACCGCTGATTTAAACATCAGCTGCCATTCTGAGACATCCTAAAACGAGAGCAAAGCCCTCTACGTGAGAAAACGGCTTTTGCTTCTCTTTTGTACGACAGACGAGGGACGATCTGTCTGTCTCCCAGGCTAGAAGAACGATGAAGATACAACTAGAAAAATCAGGGAATCTAAGAAATCAGGGATTTCTGCTAACCTAGAATGAGGCGTCGAGGCCTTCCGTCTGCAGTTCTCTCCCTTTCCTGACACACGGCCCTGCTGGGGGACATTCGCCAGGAGGAGGGTGCCTGTCTGTCTCTTGTTCACAAGGTAAAGCAACAGTGTATCAGCGAAGTTTTCAGAACTTGCTGAAGGAATGGATGCACACCGACGAGTCTTCCGAAATTTACTCAGGGAAGGAATGTCGGGTAATAAAGAACTGGACCAGACAGATTTGCTGCACCCAGCAGGGATCACAAAGTTTCCCAAGTCACCACCAGGGGGCTGCACAGGGCAGTAACGCCAATCCCCCGGGCAGATTCTTGGAGAGGGCCCCGCTGGCCTTTATTCCCAGGCTGAATCAGGTGAGGGCCTTGTCTGCCTTACTCCATATGCACTCCAAGAATCTGCCCTGGTCCTGGCTGAGCCCCGCTTTTCTGATTTGAAGATTTGGGTTTTGTGATGACAATGTGGGTGTTGACTCATTCCGTGGTTCTGACAGGGCTACTTTAGGCCTTTTAAAGAACAAAGCCATTTCCTTAAGGTCAAGGGACAAAGACAGGAAGTAATCTGCTTCTCCATTGTGCTGTCGCTGAAATATCCAGTTCCTGTGGGATGTCAGCAGCTACTGAATGGAGAGACAGACTCAAGGCTGGGCTCCAGGAGAGAAGGGGTGCCTGGCTGGAGGCTTGCTCCCAAAATTCACGTCTTTCCCTCTCTGGCCCTCCACAAAATGAGGGGTTGGCCAGCTGTGGGCATCAGCCCTGGCACTGACACACACAGCTCACACCTGCATGCTCTACCACTGGCTTCTGCCATCACGTTCTACCTTGTCAAAGGTTTTTGAGCCTTTGACCATGGACATGAGCCACAATGAAGCTTTTCCCCTGCTGGGCGCTGGTGGCTCATGCCTGAAACGCTAGCTGCTCAGGAGGCTGAGATCTGAGGATCGCGGTCCAAATTGGGCAGCGAAGTCCCTGTGAGACTCTTTTCTCCAATTACCACTCAAACCAGAAGTGGCTCCGTGGCTCCAAGAGGTAAAGCCTTGAACACAAAGAGGCTCAGGGACAGCGCCCAGGCTCTAAGTTCAAGCCCCATGACTGACCCAAAAAACCCAAACCCAAACCATCCTGCCCCTTTAGAGGGGGACGATCCTAGGTATTTTGCACCGCCAGTGCAGCAGCCCCATTTCTTGTCCCTCTACTGCCCGGGGCGCTGGCCCGCGGGCAGATGCGCGCGCTCACCAGTTTTGGATGCGGCTTCGGCAGCAAAGTCGGCGGCGAATTTCTTGAGGACCTCCGCGCTGTCTTCCTTCACGAAGAGGCCGATGAAGTTGGAGGAGGTGTAGAGCTCCAGGGGCAGCGGGGCAGAGAACTTGCACTTCCAGCGGCTGACCGTGGCCTGCAGCGCCTCCCCCAGGGCGTCTACCTTGCTGTCCTCACACTGGCAGGGGCGAAAGCGGGTTTCATCAGCACGGTGGGGACAGGGAAGCCGGGGACAGGGAGGCCCGGGACAGGGAGGCCGGGGACAGGGAGGCCGGGGACAGGGAGGCCCGGGACAGGGAGGCCGGGGACAGGGAGGCCGGGGACAGGGAGGCCCGGGACAGGGAGCCCCACCATTGTCACACAGCACTGGGTTTGCTGTCCCTAGGGCTGGGGGCCAGTCACACAGTCATTCAACCACCACTACTGTCTGCTCAGCAGGGGAAGAACTTCCGGGTCCCCACTGCCAGGGCAGCGACTGACCTCTTCCCACCCCCTTTGCCCTGCGGTGGCCCCTGGACCCCACCAAAGTGCCACAGGACTGGTCCGACAGGAAGCAAGAACAGGAGTTAGGATTGAAGTGATGTTGGTCAAATGATGGAAAACTTCCCTGAGATGGATGCAGTAAATTCAAGAGTGACCACAATGCACAACAATGGAGTGGCTACCTGAAAATTGCTAAGAATGTAGATTTCAGTGGTAGAGCCTAGAAGTCGGGTCTAGCACGCATGGGGCCCTGGGATTGATATACAACCCTGAAAAAGACTAAAAAGATTTGAAGTGCTCACACAATACAGGGTAAGTATGTGAGTTAATGCATAGATGACTTGGTTTGATTCAACAATGCCGCCCTCAACATACGTGTCAAACTGTCACACTACACCTCACAAATATACACAACTTTTCTGTCATTAAAAAAAAAATAAGTTGGACACTGATGGCTCACATTTGTAATCCTAGCTACTCAAGAGGCTGAGATTGGAGGATCATGGTTTGCAACCAACCCTGGGCAAACAAATCCAAGAGACTTATCTCTAATTAACCACCAAAAAGCCAGAAGTAGAGATATGGTTCAAGTGGTAGAGCACCAGCCTTAAGCAAAAAAGCCAAGCAAGAATGGGAGGTTCAGAGTTCAAGTCCCAGAACTGGCACATTGAAAGAAGTAAAAGTTTTAGAAAAGAAGAAGAGGAGGGGTTGGAAGAGGAGGAGGAGAGGAAGAGAAAGAAGAGGAAGAAGAGGAGGGGGAAGAGGAAGTGAGAGAGGAAGAGGAAGAGGAGGAGAAAACAGGAGGCTGGACAGGACCGGCGCGGGCGCAGTGCAGGATAAATTACTATGTTCTCAGCCGTCCTGCGTCACCGCTGCCCTTCCTGTTCCCCGGGGAGAGGGGCGTCTGCTCCCACCTCCACCGTCACTGGGAAACGTGGATCTGGGCCCTGACGTCACCCTCCTGTCTCGGAGGAGCTCCCGGGCTGGGGCGGGAGGGTGGAGCATGACTATCTCCAACTCTGGGATGACTAAGAGGAAGTGAAAATCACTTTAATCTGCAGAGTGAATGGCAAAAGAGAAGGTATTAGGAACATTCTTTTTTGTTTTGTTTTAACCTGAGAGAGTCTATCTGAGGGGGAAAAAAGCCAAATGTTGTCTTAAAAATGGTTCTAAAATGCGACCATTCTACCTGGTGTTGGATGTCTGCAGACATGTCAGTTTTCCTCTGTCAGCACGGATTGTTGAAGTGAGTGAGTGGCATGGGTTTAGAATAGTATAGGGAGGAAGATTTCAGATTTAATGTGGTTGCTGAATAAGCTTCCTGATAGCCAGAACTGTGGACCAGGAGCTGTGGCGGATGAAAGGTTATCTTTGCTGTTTCTAGAAACCTCTAGGACCTTGTGGGCAGCTTATATAAAGTGGGTATGGCCTTCTCTGTCCACAGAGCACAGGCCCCAGCTCCTCTCCTTCAGTGTTGCAGGAGTGGAGAGGACACACTGGAACCAGCCCTGAAAGCCGGGGTGGCCCACGAGGGCCCTGCTTGCTCCACGTAGCGTTGGGCGCACGGGATGCTGCACCTAACCCGGGCACTACTGGGCCTCATGCGTGTAAGGACAGGGGAACGGGGGCTAGCCAGAAGCCCCCCGATGACTGCCATTGGCCTCGGAGCGGCCCCCACTCCCACTCCAGCTCCGGGGGCCCGGCGGTGGCGGCTGGGCCCGCAGCTCACCATGAAGAACTGGCAGAGGGTGATGTGCGGGAAGATGTTGTGGGCCTTGTTCTTCCCGCAGATCTGCTTCGACTGCTGCCAGAAGTCCGAGAGCTTCTGCGCCAAGGGGCCGGTGGGGCGAAGGTAGAGGACGTACTCGCGGGGCAGGGGGTCATCCAGGAAGGGGTCCCCAACGTGGGAGAAGAGCCTGCAAGACAGACACGGGCCGGGAGGGCCTTCCTGGAGGACCGCGGGGGAGACCGGGCGACGGCGCAGAGCACAGCGCTGCGTTTCTCCGGGTCGCCTCGCGCCCTCCTCCCCCAGCTCCCTAGCATTCCCAGAGGCGCTCCCAGGAAGAGTCGGCAGGCCAGGCTGGGTGCTGGTGGCTCACACCCGCAGCCCGAGCGATTCAGGAGGCTGAGATCCGAGGATCCCTGGCCAAAGTCAGCCCAGGCAGATGAATCCACCAGACTCCTATCTTCAATTAAATGGCAAAAAGCTGGAAGGGGAGGTGTGGCCACCCTGTGTGGTACTCAAGGGATGACATCTAAGTTCACCTGCCCAGCACCCAGACACCTGGGGAGAACCTTTAGGACCACAGTGTGTGAGGTTCTATATTGGAAAGACTGGGGAAAAAAAACACATTTTTTTTTTTTTTTAGGTCAGTCATGGGGTTTGAACACAGGGCCTGGGTGATGTCCCTCCCTGAGCTTTTCTGTTCAGGGCGAGCGCTCTACCACTTTGAGCCATAGCACCACTTCCAGTTTTCTAGTGGTTTATTGGAGATAAGAGTCTCACAGACTTTCCTGCCCAGGCTGGCTTTGAGCCATGATCCTGAGATCTCAGCCTCCTGAGTAGCTAGGATGACAGGCGTGAGCCACCGGCGCCCGGCTTGGAATGCCTTTAAACAATCCCAGTGAGAAGCAGCAGCTGGGGTCCAGGCCGAGGAGACAATAGACTTGACAAGTGGGCTGTCATCCAGGCTGTGGGCTCCTCCCCCCGCGGAAGGGTCTATTAGCGTCCAATGAACGCAGAATAATTGCATGCTATTTTCTCCATTTGTTTATTTCATACCAACCAGTCACATGCTGCCTGAACGCTTCTTCCCCCGGTGGATGCCAAGGCTTTTTGTCTAGAAGAAGAAATCAAGTATCTATTGTTAGTATTTTTAGCCTCCTCTCAGCTTTCCAGGCTGTAGGAAAGCTGTAGTGACAAGACTTGAGCATGCCGAGGACGTGCTGTGTGGAGGGTTGGGGGGGAGGGGAGACACCTGCAGCAGGTTTGGCCGGCGGGGGGGGGGGGTCCACACCCAGACACAGGCATGGCAGGACTAGTCAGTAACTCCTGTGTAATTAGCATCTGATTTGCATGCGGCCCGTGAGCTCTATTTTCAGTCTTTTCCACATTACGGTTTTATTTTTGCTTCTCTCCAAGTTGTCACGTCTTGCTTCTTCCCTCCTCCCTTGCCACCCACTGATTTGCGCTGACCCAGATCCCCTCCCGGGAGGCTCTTGTTGGCAGCCCCAAGGCACAGGTGGGCTGGTAGCCGTGAAGACACAGGGCCGCACGTCCCCAAGGACAACTGGGTTTGGATAAATATCTTCAGGCCTCTCGTCCCCCTCCAACCACGACCGCCACAGCACTGGGTCAGATCCGTCATCTCTAACTCTTCTACAGGCATCTGGGGACCCACGGGGCTGCCTCAGAGTGTGGGCAGGGCCGTGAGACCAGACTCACTGGTGTGGGACCCACTCAAAGCTCGGCCGGTGGGGGAGGCCAGGGGCCGTGAATGGTGTTCAAGCTGTGTGCCCAGTGCTCAGGACGCTCTGACTGACTACCTGCCCGTCCACACACCGGCGCTGACGGCCCCCCGTCACACAGACCCTGGCGGGGGAGGCAAAGCGGGGGACACTGGCTGAGCTTTCAGGGAGATTTCAGTTCATAGACCCAGACCCAGCTAATTCATTTTATTATTCATGTGGCAACTGCAATGGAGGGAAGGCATAGAAAGCCTCCAGGCTTCTCCTGTTGAATGGAGGTAAGAGTCTCTCAGATGTATCTGTCCAGGCTGGCTTTGAACCATGATCCTCAGATCTCAGCCTCTCTAGTAGCTAAGGTTACAGGTATGAACCACCGATGCCAGAAAACCTCTTTATTTTTGGTGGAGAAGCCATGTACCCAGGAAAGCACAGCCATGGTGATCTGTTAGAGGTTAGACTCTCTGAGGGACTGAATACACCAAAAAAAGAGGCCATTGTTTCACAAACAATGGCAAAAGGGGAAACTCGCTGGTGGTCAGACAATGTACTGTTTATAAAAAGCCTCCGATTCCTTCTCCCCACACCCTTCCCCCAGAGCCCATGGAATATATCTGACTGAAATTTAATTTATTTCATCTGAGAAGCTAAAGAGAATCCTCTGGAAATGAAAGAGCTAATTAAGTTATGGTCTCCGTAACTCAAAAGACACATTTTGGAGAGGGTTTATATAAAAATAAGTAACCGAGAAAGATAATGAAAGGTTTGCATGTTATAAGACTGGGATAAAAGGTTAAGGAAAACCAAATTCTTTCTAAAAAAGAAAAGTCTGAGAGGGTTTTAATTTTGAGGAAGATCATTGTGCCTTTCTAGTGAGAGTCAACTGAACGAAAATAAATGTTGGCTGTAACACAAAGGACTCAAGTTAGTTCCCAGAAAGAACTTTCTGCAAGTAACAGGATATATACGTATATGCATATATATACGTACATATATATATACACATACATATGTAGATATATAATTTCTAGAAAGCATTTCCCTATCTAAAACAGGGGAGTGAAATTCCCAGAGCGTGAATCTTCCGGAAGAGGTGAGTCCTCCTCCCAGCAGCCTCGGTGCTCCGGTGGCCCCTCCCCTTCACCCACCACCAGGCTGGCCGCGATCTGGGTTGATCTCGTTCCCAGAACTCTGCCCACAGAACAGACGGAGCATGGCCAACGGTCCTACGAGTCTCCCCAGCCCTGCTCTGTGGAAGAGAGGCTGTTTGCACAGAACTCCACTTTTGCGGCACGGCCCAGGGCCTGGGCCCCTGCCAAGGGTGTGTGGGAGGGGGTTGGTAGGGTGGCCCCTAAATCCCACGCTGGCTGGCCCGGACACCTGCTACCTCAGGGGGTGCCGAGGGCAGCACCCTGCGCAGTGCCCGCAGCCTTGGCCCCACAGCAGGACCAAGCCGTGAGGGACATGCCCATTGGCCCTGCACCAGGGGCACGCGTGCATGTGGTGGGAAAAACACCCCAGCTCTGTCAAGCTGGGGTGGCAGCCAGTACTGTAAGAAGAAGCAAGCAGCCAACAAAATGCAGAGGTGGCAGAGGTCTGAGCAGTGTTCTAGCAGACACACAGGGGCTGCTGCTAAGTAGTGGAGACCCAACCACATTTCCTGGTGGCCTAATGGCTCCTATGCCCAGAAAGTTCTTCCTCCTGTCCCAGCAGTGGCCCACATGACCCAGATGGCTGGCAGCCCCTTCCCTAGGCCTGGCTGGGCTGGCTACATCTTCCTTACCTCATAAAACAATTCAGTCTATCACTGCCAGCCAGGCAATTCCAGCTACCTTTTCTCCCCAAGGCTCGTGAAGCAGACCTGCTAAAAGCCTGGGTGGTTTGGCTGCACAATTTTATCTCCAAACTTGTGCCCCTCTGTGAGGCTGTAGGAGGCAGGAGAGAGGCCTGTCAATCCACCTACCATTTCCTTCAGAGGAAATGAAGCTAATGGAGAAAGGTATATTGATCCTCAAGGTCTAGTTTCAGGGCCAGTCTGCCAATGCTTTCAGTTGGCTGGGGTTATAATGGCCTCTGGTCTCGGCCCGTAGCTGGTGTGAGAGCTGTTCATCTAACGATTAATTGGACGGCAGGCTTGTCTGGCTCGTCTGGCTGGTCAACGAAGGAAAATGCACTGGGCTCTTTAATAAAGCAAATCAGTACCGCCCCCTCCCCCTTTCTTTTCAGGTTCTATATTGGAAAGACTGGGGAAAAAAAAC